ACATACACATACACACCCACGCACACGCGCACGCTCACAAAGCACGCTACATACCGTTCCACTACAAAAACAACCTGACGGAAAACAATAGACGTATTATCCACTCCAGTCAACAACAGTTTCAACTTTATTTATAGCACGCCTACGTAGGACCGTGTATGTTTTTTTTCATGTCTAGTTCTTTCACTAGAAGGAGATTTATTTTTTTAAACTTATTTACTGTGGATAATGTTAACTAGAATGACGATTTAGGTACCTTTCATCTCGAAATAGAGGAATTTAAGAATTTAATGATCGATAATTCACGTCACATGCTTGGCTGGGATTTGGGGGGGGGGGCGGAATATACATTGATGTTTATGACGATTTTGTTTTACTGTGTCGTAAAAAGGAGGGAAGGGGTGAGCAGGATCATCGTGACGTCATTGGAGCGGCTCTGGCTTTTAGTGACGACACAATTGTTGGAGGAGTACAATAAAAAAATGCAACTTATAACTCGTGACGTCCTTTTACAAACGGCTTCCTAATCTTAGTAAATAAGAATTAATCACGAGTTTGGGCTAGATTAAAATGTTGATATAGGTTGATATTACTTTTTTATATTAATTTTTATATTAATTAATAGTAAATTAATTTGCACATTTCTAAAATTTAATAATTTTTAAAATATCGCTGTAATAGAATTCGTTTATTAACGACTTCACACTACTATGTGTAAGGGAGATTCGAACTTTAAGTGACGATTTGAGACTTATGGGGCGGGGGTGGGGGCAGAAAGTGTGACGAAGCACATTTACATTTGAAATAGTTATGTTAGAAAAACATTTAAATTCGTTATTTCGAGCTTTAAAAAAATAGATGGTTTTTTTTTTTGTTTTTGTTTTTTTTTGCATAAATTCTAATAAAAATATGTTTTAATATATTCCTTCTTTAAACGAGCTCAGTTAATATTTAGAAAGAAAAAAGTTGTTATAAAAAGTGTAACATCTTGTTAGATGGGATAAGGGTTTATGTGACATTGTGTGACTATGTGGAGAAGGGGGGGATAGCATCCGACGTAGTTTATGGAGGATCCTATACACAAGAGAATGAGGAGATCCTGTTTATTTAACACCTTAGACGAGTCGTGCGACCCGACCAGTGTGACGTCAGCAGTGTGTTACGTGCTTGACCTAATATTTCTTTACCGTAACACCCGGATTCTAATAATGTCGGTCTCTGGACTGTTTCATCTAAATAATAACTATAAAAGTCTACTAAGACAGAAACTCTAAGTGAACTCGTTAACTTACGTCTTGGGTAGAAAATAGAAAATAAGATATCCTGAATAAAATAGAAAACTTTTATTCAGAACAGAAACCTTAATCACAAAATATAAAATGAGGAAATATATAAGAATCACCTAATCTACGATCAAATATAAAAACTTCTAGAACTATTCAATAACCTAACTTTCGACAACACAGAGTGAATAAAAATATGACATCAAATAAAATACAAGAATGTTGAAAACCCAAATTACTCTCTCATGAATATAACATACACATCTAACTAACTTCACAAGGAAAATAGATACGGAATAAAAATATACTTCTCTCTCTCTCTCTCTCTCTCTCTCGGGGGGGGGGGGGGGGGTGTCAAGACACAAGTATCACGAGCACAGTCGTGAACACCTTCAAATGGGTCCAGAGTTTCTTCCAGGGCACCGCCCCCCCCCCCACCGAACGAAATGGAATTTATATAGAAACTATATACTTTTGACAGTGTCCGCCCCCCCCCCCCGAAAATTCCAAGTGCACCCCCGAAGAAAACAGTCTGGAAGAAACACTGAATGGGTCTGAATGAAAATTACGTCATTTAATAAAATAGGGAGCTCAAGGCCAATTGTGTACAAATAAATTCACACGATTACCAAAACCTAAGTAGGTCACAAGTGTGACGCTACCAGTGTGACGCTAAGAGTGTGACACGAGCAGTATGACGCAGGCAGTGTGACGCAAGCAGTGTGACGCAGGCAGTGTGACGCCACCAGAGGCGTAGCGAGGGGGGGTGGGGGGTGCGGACCGAACCGGGTGACACCATTTAGGGGGGTGACACCAAGGCAAAAAATATCAAAATATATAAAGAAAAATTTGAGGGGGGGGGGGGGTGCAAATCGAAAGTTTGAGAAGGGGGTGCAAATCAAAAATTGAAAGTTTGTCCCCGGGAAGGGTCGATACGCCTCTGGGGGGTGACACCATTAAGTGCCGCACCGGGTGACACCCGACCTCGCTACGCCACTGGACGCCACCCATGTGACGCTACTAGTGTGACGGTGTTCAGGTAGCCAGCGAGCAGTGTGACGCAAGCAGTGTGACGCAGGCAGTGTGACGCCACCAATGTGACGCTACTAGTGTGATGGCGTTCAGTTAGGCAGCGAGCAGTGTGACGGCGAAGAGTTGCCGAGTCAGCCTCTAAACCAGGGTGTCCTTGAACCACGCTGGGTAAACATTGCACTCGATCAAAGAGCGGCACGCCACATTAACGCGATATTTTGAAATGTGCATCTAACAAATATGCGATACAACAAAAAAATTGTAGATACTAATCTTATAATGTAGTCCACAAATTGTAAATGTCAATTTATATATATATATATATATATATATATATATATATATATATATATATATATATATATATATATATATATATATATATATATATATATATATATATATATATATATATAATATGAACTTGTTCCCACTAAGAGTTTGGTGCCCACTCAATGTTTGGGGCCCACTCAATGATTGGGGCCAACTCAATGTTTTGGGCCCACTCAATGTTTGGGGCCCACTCAATGTTTGGGGCCCACTCAACCCTAACCACATCACCACATGCTTTCATCAAAGCACCCACACGGCACTACAGCATGGTATCCTGGTGTGGAATCATTGTCTGGGTTATGGTTAGGGTCTGGGTCGGGGTTAGAGATGAATTCATTACCGGTTGTTTTGGGTCTAGGGTTAGAGTTAGTGTCTGGTATAGGGTTTGGTGTGGGTCTAGGGTTTGGTGTGGGTCTAGGGTTTGGTGTGGGTCTAGGGTTTGGTGTGGGTCTAGGGTTTGGTGTGGGTCTAGGGTTTGGTGTGGGTCTAGGGTTTGGTGTGGGTCTAGGGTTTGGTGTGGGTCTAGGGTTTGGTGTGGGTCTATGGTTTAGCGTGGATCTAGGGTTTGGAGTGGGTCTAGTGTTAGAGTTAATGTATGGTATAAGGTTTAGCGTGGGTATAGAGTTAATGTATGGTCTAGGGTTTGGTAAGGATCTAGGGTTAGAGTTAATGTAAGGTATAAGGTTTAGCGTGGGTATAGAGTTAATGTATGGTCTAGGGCAGGGGTCGGCAACCTTTTGAAGCAGAAGAGCCAAAAGTTACAATTTTCAAAATTTCCCTGGTTTTAAAGAGCCACTAACATTTTTTTTATTTCAAATATTTTTTTTTAGTAAGATTGTTAGTATTTACGCAATGAGCTGGAGAGCCGCTTCTGGATATCAAAAGAGCCGATGCGGCTCGCGAGCCGCAGGTTGCTGACCCCTGGTCTAGGGTTTGGTAAGGATCTAGGGTTAGAGTTAATGTATGGTATAAGGTTTAGCGTGGGTATAGAGTTAATGTATGGTCTAGGGTTTGGTAAGGATCTAGGGTTAGAGTTAATGTAAGGTATAAGGTTTAGCGTGGGTATAGAGTTAATGTATGGTCTAGGGTTTGGTAAGGATCTAGGGTTAGAGTTAATGTATGGTTTAGGGTTTGGTTTGGGTATAGGGTTAATGTATGGTATAGGGTTTGGTGTAGGTCTAAGGTTAGAATCAGTGCTATAATTAGGTAAACGATGCTGGGTAGAAAAACTACCCATGAATATCTCCCACCCACGTTCTAGTAATTGCCTTCATGACCTTTTCACTTTCATATAACATAAACAGGAGTGTCGGTACCGACACCACAATCGGCTGGTGGGAATAGATGTGTAACCGGTGTGTAGCTGTCTGATCAAACGTGTGATGGGTGTGTAGCTGTCTGATCGTGTTTAGCTGTCTCATCGTTGTGTTGCCGGTGTGTAACATGCTAATCAAACGTCAAGCCGATGTATACATAAAAAGCCTAAATAAAACTTGGAGGCGGGTATGTAGCAGATGTGCCGAACGAAGGACAGCGAGAAGATGCACGGCTGGGTTGATACTGCTCACTCAACTCACAGCTTTTAGTCTATTGTTGAAACGTGTTTATCTCACACGTTTATCTCACAGGCATTCTCATGTAGGGTAATTCGAATGCAGTACATGTTCCCTTTCCTCCACCCGAATACACATGTAAACCACCTAGACGCCTTTTGCCACAGAGTATATATATATATATATATATATATATATATATATATATATATATATATATATATATATATATATATATATATATATATATATATGTTTGTATATATATATATATATATATATATATATATATATATATATATATATATATATATATGTTTGTATATATATATATATATATATATATATATATATATATATATATATATATATATATATATATATATATATATGTGTGTGTGTGTGTGTGTGTGTGTGTGTGGTTGTGTGTGTGTGTGTGTGTGTGTGTGTGGTTGTGTGTGTGTGTGTGTGAATGATCCTAATGCTGGTGTTTTAAAAGATTCGTTTATTTGCTTTGCAGCAACAGCTGATGATGATGATGATGATGATGCAAGGTCTCAAGGTAAATCATGTTAAATAAATTAAGTGCCACAAGCTGCTATCGTTTCATTGCACAACGATTTAGAACTTAAAAAACCCTTATCTGCAAATTTACATAAACAATTTGGCGTAACAATAACAAATTTAAAATAACAACGCCTGCTAAACAATAACCCGAACAGCGCCGAACATACCGCCGGCGAATAGCGTGACGGCGAACACTCCCCTCACCACAGCCGTCGACATAGTTTGTGAAATATCCGGTTGTATTAAATAAAAGCCTAGCAACGCCCTGTCAACATTTACTCGAGTGGAACTTTTTTTTTTAAATTAAATTTGCACCTACAGCTGATGTGTAGTCAAGATGGGGGGTGCCTTCTTCAGACCCAACGCCGAGTTCGTCATCATAGTCCACACAGGTGACCGGCTCAACTCTGGCACCGATTCCAACGTTCACCTGGTTCTCCGCGACGAGAAGGGAAACCACTCCGACCCGATTTTGTTAGACAACCCGCTGAGGAACGACTTAGAACGCGGGTCCGTGGATACCTTCTGTGTTCCTTTAGACAAGACAAAGTTCTTATTGAAACACGGGAAGCTTACGTGTATCGAGATCACTAGCGACAACTCCGGGCTAGGCGCCGAGTGGTTCGTGGATCGAATCCACGTGGAGAACAAATCCTGCAATAAGACGTTCACGTTTCCGGTGTTCCGGTGGATTAAGGGAAACAGGCAGTACCGGATTAACCTGCTGGACACCTGCCTGCCCCAGAGCGAGCCGCCGGCCACGGTCCAACAGAGACAGGATGAGATCTTGGAGAAGAGGAAACTATACCAGTACGACCAGAAGTTTCCAGAGAGGTTTCCTGGTGGGCCAGTACAGGTGAGAGAATGATTTGTAAATCTTATGTATCAATATACTTCTATCTATTACATGTGCATATATATATATATATATATATGTATATATATATATATATATATATATATATATATATATATATATAGGGTTGGTAAAAAACACATAGAAACACACGCCCTCACATAGATAGATTCCCACACAAGCAAACCACACTCACACGAGCATGACTCATCGCCACTCTTTCAAGGGCGCTACACGCATAAACAAACCCTCATTCACACACACGCCATATCCCACATATACACGTACATATTTAGACCAAAACAAACACACATACATATACGTACTGACACCATAACCCACATGTACACGTACACACACCATAACCCACACATACACGTACATACTTACACCATAATACACATATACACATACATAGTCACACCATAACCCACATATACACGTACACACACCATCATCCACATATACACGTACATACACCATAACCCACATATACACGTACATACTCACACCATAACCCACACATACACGTACATACTCACACCATAATACACATATACACATACATAGTCACACCATAACCCACATATACACGTACACACACCATAATCCACATATACACGTACATACACCATAACCCACATATACACATACATACTCACACCATAACCTACATATACACGTACACAAACCACAACCCACATATACACGTACAAACACCATAACCCACATATACACGTACAAACACCATAACCCACACACCCATACACACCCACACCCTTACATAGACCTACACAGTCACATCCACACACACACACACACAAAAACCAACACGCTCTGTCACACACTCACTCTCACACACTCATGACCACAAACACACGCACACACATACACACATATAAACGCATAGAACGTAAATACCACTATGACTGTTGAATGTGACTCTGCCCTCTAATGCCTGTAGTTTATAGTTTTAATCAACCCAACGTACGCCTAAAATGTAAGCATGCAGCAACTACACAAAATACCCACAGGGTTAAACTTGAACACAAATTTAAACCCGGACATGGGGAAGAAACAAAACACTCAGGTATTCGCAAAAAATATCATGACCTCCTAACCCTATTTTTATAACATTTTTAGCTCTTACCACAGACTAGCCATTATATTGCAAGCTTGCTTCACTAGTTTTTATGCGCATTAAAATATTCAGCTCGGCGATTTTTTGTGTGTGCTTAGTTATATATTAGCAGTTAAATATAGAACCTGGACGTTCATTTCTTGACACAGAACAAAGGGGGTCACTGTTCTTTTGACATGGTTTAGTCTAGAGGACTTGTAATGTAACGTCAAGAAATAAATGAAGGATAGCTCTTAATTCATGTCCGATAACTCTTGCAGAAAATTAAATGTAACTCTTGCAAAAAAAATGAAGGATTGCTCTTGTATTAAAGATTGGATCATTCTTGTAATAAACATACACTCATGTGTACAGTGGCGTCGCTATGTCGGCACTTCGTGGTGTCACCCCCCCCCCCCAGAAACAATATATATATATATATATATATATATATATATATATATATATATATATATATATATATATATATATATATATATCCGCCTACAAAAGCCTATAATTCAAATACATGCCACTCACCCCTACATGTATGTGTATAAGCTTTAATCACGACAGACTTAATAGTAACGTGAATATCTTTAGTCTGTAAATAATACAGTTGGATGTAGCATTGTTTTCTCTATAGTTGGCGCGTTTACGTCATGGTGTCACCCACACTCCTTGTAATAGTTGTCGATTTGTACTTAAAAGACAATTTAACTTTTATTAATCATTAGTGGAACTGGCAAAAAAAGCATTTTTCTTCTGTATATTTGGTGTCACCCCCTCCCTACTTGGTGTCACCCGGTGCGGTCCGCACTCCGCTCTTCCCCAATCTATTTCCGCTTGAATTCGCTAGTGAACTTCAATGGTCTAGTGTTTGTAGATTGGTGTCAATGTATCACTACACTGCAGATACTTACCCAATCTATTTCCGCTTGAATTCGCTAATTGAAGTTCAGTGACAAATAGTGATGACTAAACGGCAGCTGTCTCTTTGTATTTAGTGATTATTGATTGTTTTAATGAGCTAGATGTGGGGTCTGTATAACGGTAGGCTAAGGGGAATGTAAGGCTAGGGAATGTAAGGCTAGGGGATCTGAGGCTAAGGGATTTGGGGCTAGGGAATGTGAGTCTAGGGAATGTGAGGATAGGGAATGTGGCTTTGGGATTTGGGGATAGGGAAAATGAGGATAGGGAATGTAGGGATAATGGATGTGAGGATAGGGAATGTAATGTTAGGGAATGTGGGGCTATGGGAATGTGAGGTTAGGGGATTTGAGGCAAAGGAATGTAAGTATAGGGAATATGAGGAAAAAGAATGTGAGGTTAGGGGATTTGGGGCTAGGGAATGTGGGACTATTGGATTTGGGGCTAGGGAATGTGAGGATAGGGAATGTAATGTTAGGGAATGTGGGGGCTAGGGAATGTGACGATAGGGGATGTGAGGCTAGGGAATGTGGGGGCTATGGGAATGTGACGATAGGGGATGTGAGGCTAGGGAATGTGGGGGCTAGGGAATGTGACGATAGGGGATGTGAGGCTAGGGAATGTGGGGGCTAGGGATGTGAGGCTATGGAATGTAAGCCTATGTAATGTGGGGGCTAGGGAATGTGAGGATAAGGGATCTGAGGCAAGGGAATGTGAGGATAGGGAATGTAAGGTTAGGGAATGTGGGGCAAGGGAATGTGAAGGTAGGGAATGTACGGCTAAAGAATTTAAGTCTAGTGAACTTGAGGCTAGGGAATTTGAAAATAGGGAATGTAAGACTAGGGAGTGTGGCATCCTTAGTCTTACATTCCCCAGTATCGAGTATTGTACGACTAGGTAACGTGAAACTGGGCACACTAAGACAAGGGAATGTTAGATTAGGGACTAATACTCAGGTTAAAGAATGGATACAGGCTCAGATCTCATGGGCTTTACACGGCTACACACGGAATTAACGGGGTTATGTGTGTTATTTGAACGGAGCTTTAACATTCAGGTGCAACGGTCTAGTCAAACGAAGAAAAATCCACGCAGATATTTGAGATGCGTCATTTCACTGAAGGGGCAAAGATAAGGGGGGGGGGGGGGCAGGTTTTAATAATTAGAATAGGTTAAGTTTTGGATTTGGGTAATGGTTGAAAGGGTGTTAATTTCAACGGTAACTGTTCTGTCTCTAATTGATTGATTTGTTGTCTCTAATTGATTGATTTGTTGTCTCTAATCGATTGACTTATTGTCTCTAATTGATTGATTTGTTGCCTCTAATTGATTGATTTGTTATCTCTGATTGATTTGTTATCTCTAATCGATTGATTTGTTGTCTCTAATTGATTGATTTGTTGTCTCTAATTGATTGATTTGTTGTCTCTAATTGATTGATTTGTTGCCTCTAATTGATTGATTTGTTATCTCTGATTGATTTGTTATCTCTAATCGATTGATTTGTTGTCTCTAATTGATTGATTTGTTGTCTCTAATTGATTGATTTGTTGTCTCTAATTGATTGATTTGTTGCCTCTAATTGATTGATTTGTTATCTCTGATTGATTTGTTATCTCTGATTGATTTGTTATCTCTAATCGATTGATTTGTTGTCTCTAATTGATTGATTTGTTGTCTCTAATCGATTGATTTGTTGTCTCTAATTGATTGATTTGTTGTCTCTAATTGATTGATTTGTTGTCTCTAATTGATTGATTTGTTGTCTCTAATTAATTGATTTGTTGTAACTAATTGATTGATTTGTTGTCTCTAATTGATTGATTTGTTTGTTCGGTAGATCAAGACGTTACCGGAGGATGAGGAGTTTTCTAATTCGTACAAGGTAAGGTGTGTGGTGTGTGGTTGTGTGGGTGGTGGTAAGGTGTGTGGTGTGTGGTTGTTTGGGTGGTGGTAAGGTGTGGGGGGACATGTGTGAATGTGTAGAAAGGTGTAAATTTGTGGGGAGGGGGAGCAGATGTGTACATGAATGTGTGGGTAGGCGGTGTGTATATAAATGTGTGGGTAGGAGGTGTGTACATGAATGTGTGGGTAGGAGGTGTGTACATAAATGTGTGGGTAGGAGGTGTGTACATGAATGTGTGGGTAGGAGGTGTGTACATGAATGTGTGGGTAGGAGGTGTGTACATGAATGTGTGGGTAGGAGGTGTGTACATGAATGTGTGGGTAGGAGATGTGTATATAAATGTGTGGGTAGGAGGTGTGTACATAAATGTGTGGGTAGGAGGTGTGTACATAAATGTGTGGGTAGGAGGTGTGTACATAAATGTGTGGGTAGGAGGTGTGTACATGAATGTATGGGTAGGAGATGTGTATATAAATGTGTGGGTAGGAGATGTGTATATAAATGTGTGGGTAGGAGGTGTGTACATGAATGTGTTGCGGGCGATTAAATAGGTGTTAATGTATGAGTATTTTGAATCACACAATACTATCAATATTCTCATTGCATTATATATTTGTTTATAAAATAAAAATCCGAAGACTTTCGTAACGAGACCAAAAAAAATTTAAATGTCTTGACGTCTTATTTCAGTGGGACATCCAAAAGCAAAAAATCCAGTTGAAGGTGGCCAGTAAAATCACCATGTGGACTAGCGGTGTCTGGAACAGTTTGGACGATTTGACCAACATCTACACCAAAGAGGTGTTCACTAAACCAAAGGTGGGGCATTCACATCTTCACTTTTTTTTATTCAATGATTAGAGAACAGACATATTTAGTCATGTATAGATCTGGGGGATTAAAATCTTTAAGTGCCATGCGAGTCCTATGAGCCTGCCCTCTTGCGAGCACTCGTTAAGTGCTAGTTTTAGTTGGGCTAGGACCTGGGACCCTCCAAGATGCCTCAAAAAGGATGTCTTTAAGTTTTAACAAGGTAGTCCCTGTGCTGAATTCTTGCTCCCCCCCCCCCCCAGACCCTTTGGCACAGTCCACCCATTTCTGGTGGGTACCTAATGTGACAATGGGACAGAGTGGCCTAGCGGTAGTGAGCTAGATGCTAACCCGTAAGTCTTGGGTTCGAATCCGGATTCAAGTCAGGAGACCTACCCTGAGTCCACACAGCTCTAATGGGTACCTAACTCAAGTTAGGGTAAGTAAAGGCGGCTGGGCATAGTGATGACCACACTATTTCATATGCCGAGTTTCACAGAAACAGGTGAACTCTACTTCACTTGCCCCGTGGACCGTCAGGTATGGAAGAGGAGCTTTACTTTTACCTAATGCGGCGAGTAAAGGCAGCGGAGCATTGTGTTGATAACTTATTTTTATGCTGTAGCTTTTAAAATAAAACCTACTTCATCTGCTAATGTAAAATAAAACGCTAGAGTAATTTACTTCGGGTGTTTTTATAAACTATAGGTCATCTCGAGACCTTCCCATGACCTTCCCATTGACCTGACCTCGTGTTTCAGGGTGCCTACTATTGGCGGGACGACCTGAACTTTGGCCTTCAACGTCTGGCTAGACTCAACAACTGCCTCATCCGGCTCGTGACCTCCATTCCAGAGAAGTATGACGTCATTGCCTGATCGTTACTTAAGCTTCAGCTGATTTAGGTTCATCGCGTGAACACTTGACATTTCGGGTTGATTTGTTTTGGTTTAGAGTTTTCAGCAAGGGTAGTAGTTTAAGTTGACCACGAGATGGGAAATATCTTGCAGCAGCTTTGAAACAAAACTCTTTGCTAATAAACTCTTTGCACCAAAACTGTTTGAAACAAAACTCTTTGTAACAAAAACCTTTGTATCAAAACTCTTTGTAACAAAAACCTTTGTAACAAAACTCTTTGAAGCAAAACTCTTTGTAACAAACCTCTTTGTAACAAAACTCTTTGAAACAAAACTCTTTGTAACAAAATTCTTTTTAACAAAACACTTTGAAACAAACCCCTTTGTATTAAAACTCTTTGCAACAAAACTCTTTGCACCAAAACTATTTGCAACAAAACGCTTTGTAATAAAACTCTTTGTATCAAAACTCTTTGTAAAAAAAACTCTTTGCAACCAAACTCTTTGTAGTATAATTCTTTCCATTGCGCCTTTGGCTATCCGGAGCTAGCTTAAACAACCTACAAAGTTGGCAAAAGCGCTTAACTCACCCAACCAGTTAAGCTGATTTGTTTCCTTTATAATATCGATATAAAAAACTATTCCGTTTGCAAGTTTGAATCAATATTCACATTAACCCAATCGGCCCTAAACATTCTTTATTGCTCTGATTCTTAAACCTTGGCCCAATTTTTTATACAAGTAGTATTTTAAGAATGTTAGAAAATATTTGTTAAAAATACTAACTGCATAATGAGATTTAAAATGTATTCATCGCAAGTCAAAGAATGCGTTAGTTTAAAAAGTTTGAGAAATATGATTGTTCTTACTTTTTTAGTAAATAACTAGAATGTTTGTTTTTAAGTTAAGATATCTTTGTTTTATCAATGACTAGAGTTTGTGGTTTAAAATCGCAGCTTCTTAAAATGTGTTTGTCATAATAAATGTTTGCTTTGGATTCCGGCGTAGAATGGTTAACATTCACTCAAACTAGCAGTATACCGTTTTTTACGAATGTGCAGTGTTTTATCTGTTTGAAGTGTTTTGCCTGTCTGAAATGTTTTACCTGTTCGAAATGTTTAATATGTTTGAAATATTTTACCTGTGTGTAATGTTTCACCTAAGTGCAATATCTCACCTATGTGCAATATCTCACTTATGTGCAATATCTCACCTATGTGCATGTCTCACCTGTTTGCAGAAATCCTACTGTTTGCAATGTTTCACCTACGTACAAACTTAACCTGTTTGCAATATTTCACCGACGTACAAACTTAACCTGTTTGCAATGTTTCACCTACGTGCAAACTTAACCTGTTTGCAATGTTTCACCTACGTACAAACTTAACCTGTTTGCAATGTTTCACCTACGTACAAACTTAACCTGTTTGCAATGTTTCACCTACGTACAAACTTAACCTGTTTGCAATGTTTCACCTACGTACAAACTTAACCTGTTTGCAATGTTTCACCTACGTACAAACTTAACCTGTTTGCAATGTTTCACCTACGTACAAATTGTACCTGTTTGCAATGTTTCACCTACGTACAAACTTAACCTGCTTGTAATGTTTAACCTACGTACAAACTTAACCTGTTTGCAATGTTTCACCTACGTACAAACTTAACCTGTTTGTAATGTTTCACCTACGTACAAACTTAACCTGTTTACAATGTTTCACCTACGTACAAACTTAACCTGTTTGTAATGTTTCACCTACGTACAAACTTAACCTGTTTGCAATGTTTCACCTACGTACAAACTTAACCTGTTTGTAATGTTTAACCTACGTACAAACTTAACCTGTTTACAATGTTTCACCTACGTACAAACTTTACCTGTTTGCAATGTTTCACCGACATACAAACTTAACCTGTTTGCAATGTTTCACCTATGTGCCAACTTTTCCTGTTTGAAATATTTCACCTATATACAAACTTAACCTGTTTGCAATGTTTCACCTTCGTACAAACTTAACCTGTTTGCAATGTTTCACCTTCGTACAAACTTAACCTGTTTGCAATGTTTCACCTATGTACAAACTTAACCTGTTTGCAATGTTTCACCGACATACAAACTTAACCTGTTTGCAATGTTTCACCTACGTACAAACTTAACCTGTTTGCAATGTTTCACCTACGTACAAATTTTACCTGTTTGCAATATTTCACCTGTTTGCAAACTTGAACTTGATGCTGAGTACATTCCTAACCGAATACCGAACTTGTTTTTGTCTTGAATAAATTGTTTTGAGTCCCACGTGAGTTTAAAGCCCCAGGTGTGACTGGGGAGGGGGGGGGCGACATGGTGAGCTTGTGTTTGTAAGACTATAGTGTATCGATAAATTATCCAATAGAAGGATAAAGGGGGGAGGTAACATTACTGAAGCTATATAGAGGTGTGATTAGATATGGGATATGTGGGATTTGGGTAACATTACAAAAGCTTTAGGGATATGGATTTTATAATGTGTATATAAAAATGTTATGTAAACTGAAATATTCGCCTATACACATTCATACATTCTCTTACACACATTGAAATATTCTCCCTCATACATTCATGTATTTTCCCTCACACATTGAAGTACTCTCACTCACAGATTCATGTATTTTTCCTCATACATTTTTGTTCACACATTGAAGTATTCTCCCTCACACACTCATGTATTCTCCCTCACACATTCATGTATTCTTCCTCACAAACTCATGTATTCTTCTCACACATTGAAGTATTGTACCTCACACACTCATGTATTCTTCTCACACATTGAAGTATTCTTCCTCACAAACTCATGTATTCTTCTCACACATTGAAGTATTCTTCCTCACAAACTCATGTATTCTTCTCACACATTGAAGTATTCTTCCTCACAAACTCATGTATTCTTCTCACACATTGAAGTATTCTTCCTCACAAACTCATGTATTCTTCTCACACATTGAAGTATTCTTCCTCACAAACTCATGTATTCTTCTCACACATTGAAGTATTCTTCCTCACAAACTCATGTATTCTTCTCACACATTGAAGTATTGTACCTCACACATTCATGTACTCCTATACCAGAGGCGTAGCGAGGAAAGGGCGGGGGGGAATATGTCCCCGGGCGCCGACCTTAGGGGGGGGGGCAAATGAAAAGTTAAGTTCGAGGGGGGTGCAAATCGAAAGTTTGAGGGGGGTGCAAATCAAAAGTTCGAGGGGGGGGTGCAAATCGAAAGTTTGTCCCCGGGCGCCGGGAAGGGTCGCTACGCCTCTGTCCTATACACACATTTTAGAAAGGTGGGTTTTTAAGGCAAACCTTTATTGTGTTGTGTACTCTTTGTGTGTCGATACCATTCTATTAAAATGTGTCTGTTCCCATCTATGGACGAACGCTTTAACTTTTAGCTTACCAACACCTGTCATGCTAACCACATCACGTGGTACGTCATTGCCCAATCATTGCGTCGACAGGTTCCCTGTGACTGACGATCTCCTGAAGCCTGTCATAGACGGTCTGAGCATCAACGAGGCCATTGCACAGAAGCGGTTGTTTATTTGTGATCTAGAGATACTGGATGGGCTGCCGGTTAAAGAGAATAAAGTGGTTAGTGTTTGGTTGGTTGGTAAAGTGGGATGGGTGGATGGTTGGTTGGATCGGTAGATGGTTAAATGGTTGGTGGTTAGATGGTTGGTGAGTGGATGGGTGGTTTGTTGGATCGGTAGATGGTTGGTGAGTAGATGGTTGGTGGAGTTTTGGTTGGTTGGTTGGTCGGTTGGTGGGTGGGTTGGTTGGTTGGTGGAGTTGGTTGATTGGTTGGTGGGTGGGTTGGTGGGTTGGTTGGTTGGTTGGTTGGTGGGTTGGTTGGTTGGTTGGTGGAGTTGGTTGATTGGTTGGTGGGTGGGTTGGTGGGTTGGTTGGTTGGTTGGTTGGTGGGTTGGTTGGTTGGTTGGTGGAGTTGGTTGATTGGTTGGTGGGTGGGTTGGTGGGTTGGTTGGTTGGTTGGTGGGTGGGTGGGTGGGTTGGTTGGTTAGTTGGGGAGTGGTTGGTTGGTTGGTTGGTTGGTGGGTTGGTTGGTTGGTTGGTGGGTTGGTTGGTGGGTTGGTTGGTTGGTTAGTTGGGGAGTGGTTGGTTGGTTGGTTGGTTGGTGGGTTGGTTGGTTGGTGGGTTGGTTGGTTGGTTGGTTGGTGGGTGGGTTGGTTGGTTGGTTGGTGGGTTGGTTGGTGGGTTGGTTGGTTGGTTGGTTGGTTGGTTGGTTAGTTGGTTGGTTGGTGGGTTGGTTGGTTGGTTGGTTGGTGGGTTGGTTGGTTGGTTAGTTGGGGAGTGGTTGGTTGGTTGGTTGGTTGGTTGGTGGGTTGGTTGGTGGGTTGGTTGGTTGGTTAGTTGGTTGGTTGGTTGGTTAGTTGGGGAGTGGTTGGTTGGTTGGTGGGTTGGTTGGTTAGTTGGGGAGTGGTTGGTTGGTGGTTGTTTGGGGGGTGGTTGGTTGGATAGTAGATAAATGGATGGTTGGTGGGTGGATTGGTAAATTGGTGGATAATTGGTAAGTGGGGAGCTAGATGGGTTAATGTTTGGTTGGGTGGATGGGTGGGTGGTTGTTGGGGTGGATGGTTGGTGGAATTGGTAGATTGATGGTTGGAATAGTCGGGATGGATGAATGGATGGTTAATAGGTTGCAGGGTGGATATGGGTGGAGGAATTTGATTACGTGATAGTTTGATGAATTTATATCAAAATGGATGGATGGTTCCGGGTATGTAGGGTCAGTTGATGGATGGGTGTTTGATGTGCGGTCAGTCACTTTAATTGGTCAATTAGTCGGTGGGTCATTTGTTAGTACATAATGGGTGGGTTGTTATGAAATGTATAACAAGACAGACAAATCTACCAGCCCAATTAACCCCATCCCTTGTCCATCTCATACCATCAGCTCTGTGCACCCATCGCTCTGTTCTTTGTCGACATGTCCAAACAGCTACGACCAGTGGCCATTCAACTTTTCCAGACACCTGGACCCGACAATCCGGTATGTTGAAAAACGTCAATTTTTTCATTCTTTTTTTTTATTTCTGTGTGTTGTTTTTTAAAGTATTTAACTATAGAATATAGAGGTTTTTATATAGAATCTAGGTTCATTATATATATATATATATATATATATATATATATATATATATATATATATATATATATATATATATACAGGGGCGTAGCGAGGGGGGGCGGGGGGTGCGGACCGCACCGGGTGACACCATTTAGGGGGATGACACCAAGGCAAAAAATAGCAAAATATATAGAGAAAAACTCGAGGGGGGGGGTGCAAATCGAAAGTTTGAGGGGGGGGTGCAAATCGAAAACTTGAAAGTTTGTCCCTGGGAAGGGTCTCTATGCCTCTGGGGGGTGACACCATTAAGTGCAGCACCGGGTGACACCCGACCTCGCTACGCCACTGTGTGTATATATATATATATATATATATATATATATATATATATATATATATATATATATATATATATATATATATATATATATATATATATATATATATATATATACATGGAATGTGAAAAGTAAGAGAGAAGTGAAGTTACTTTTTCGCAACGTAGGCGTCGTGACAGATTGTTTTGAAACATCTCGACTCAGCACTTTATGTTATTCTAGGTTATTTGTTTAGTTGTATGAAAATTAAACCAAAATTAAATTTAATTACCCTTCAGCGGAAAACAGCTAACCATTGTCAACAGTTGTTTTTTTTTTATTCCACTATTCTGACACCTGTGGCCAAGTATTGTTACACGGGCTGGTCTAATCCTGAGAGGATTTATTAAAGCGTACCTAAGCTTAAATATTGTACACATAAAAATGACTAATTTTACTACTTGGGTATAGTTTTAGATGTAGGTTGCTTATTATTTACACCAGATGTTGGCAAAATAGTTTCTGGTAGGCACTTAATCGTGCGATGTTTTTCAGTTTAAACAACTATATTTATTTAAATGATAGCGGTTACCGGCCTTTGATCTATGTACTTCAATCAATAAAGAAGGCAACGACCTACTTACAATTTAAGTATTAAAGTATTAAAGGTTAAAGTGCTGCGACTATTTTGGTAATGCCACGTGACTCGGTGCTGTGTTGTGTTTGTTCTAGAGACCCCATAAACACACACACTTATATATATATATATATATATATATATATATATATATATATATATATATATATATATATATATATATATATATAAGTAGATTTAGAACCGCTTATGTTGGTAGACGGATTAAGGTTAAATCTTGTTGAAACTTGAATTAGTCCTAGAGGTACTTAAGCGAACAAGTCAAGCGTAAGAGGGTAGGTTAGGCGTAGAGTCGAAGAACACACTCGCTTCGTTGCCTCAACACTTAAGCTTTGATCAAATAAACAGAGGAGTTCTGAAGAGTAGTCTCTACATTTTTTTATGTTTTTGTTTCGGTGTGTTTTCTCGTGTTGGTAATTGAACAAGGTTAAAGGTCAGGTGGTGAATTAAATGGTTCCGGGTCATGAAAATTGTTAGAAGCCGCTAAGGATTCGGTTCGACAGACTTGTTTAAACAATATGGGAAAGGGGATGGGAGGGAATCTAAATGGTGCAACGGACGTATATGGCAGAGTGGTAGAGCACTCTAGCCTGAAAGTCCCGAACTCGAGTTTGGTAGCATGTTGTTGTTTTTTTTTTTTTTTTTTTTTTATCACTGAAGACGAGTCCAAGTTAACTCGAGTCTAGGAAAGAAACAGATGAGCTCTTCTTAATTCATGTAAAAGTTATTTTCATAACTGGTTGGCGTGGTCGGGTGGTTGCTAAACCGAAAAGTTCCGGATTCGAACCCCAGATGAGACTCGATAGCTGGGGTCAGCAGCCCATCTAGGGAGAGACAACTCCAAAATCAAACAACTGCTGCCTTGTGGTTTGTTCTTGGATGTCGTAGACTATGGAAGCAAATCCAGGAGGAAAAGCAATCTGAAATTATGGATCAACCGGCTATGTGGCGCTTAAACATACAAACACTTGATAGTTAATTGTGTTGGATGAAATCTCGTGCAACATTACATTAAAAGAACGAAGGAGAAAAATTTACTTGACTACATGTTTTACAGTGTAGGGCACTCTGGTATTCCTTTTGAAATCTAAGTAGTAATCTACCATTCTCTGAAATTTGACATTAAAAAGCATATCCCATAATACAAAGAGACAACGCACATGAATGATACACTATCTGCTTATGTTAAACCTTTTCACAGAGCAATGTAGTATCAAATTATTTCGAGAACTATTATCTCAAGTCTGATATGTTCCAGAACTATTGCCCATAGTCTGATGTAGTATGGAACTGTTACCTGTAGAGCTAATGCGCCCCTTGTGATGTATCAACATTTTTACTTTCAGATTTTTACCCCCATGTGTCCACCCCTGACATGGACTGTGGTCAAGATGTGGTACAACTGCTCAGATGCTGCATACCACCAGGCATTGACACATCTGGGTAGGTCATGCTTGCAGTATACTTGTTCTGTGCAGCATATTTGCGTTGTGCAGCATACGTATATTGTACAGCCCACCTGTCTTGTACCGCCCACCTGTCTTGTACAACACACCTGTCTTGTACAACTCACCTGTCTTAACACCTGTAATAAAAGTCTGACCTCCTGCCTACAGGTTTCACCCACCTGCTGATCGAGGGCACCGCCATAGCCGCACACCGGAACCTGTCGCTGTCACATCCGGTGTTCAAACTTCTGGCGCCACACTTCCTCTACGTCATGAACATCAACAAGTGAGTCACGTCTGCTGACTTTCCTAATCACGTCTGCTGACTTTCCTAATCACGTCTGCTGACTTTCCTAATCACGTCTGCTGACTTTCCTAATCACGTCTGCTGACTTTCCTAATCACGTCATCACGTCTGCTGACTTTCCTAATCACGTCTGCTGACTTTCCTAATCACGTCTGCTGACTTTCCTAATCACGTCTGCTGACTTTCCTAATCACGTCTGCCGACTTTCCTAATCACGTCATCACGTCTGCTGACTTTACTAATCACGTCATTACGTCTGCTGACTTTCCTAATCACGTCTGCTGACTTTCCTAATCACGTCATCACGTCTGCTGACTTTCCTAATCACGTCATCACGTCTGCTGACTTTCCTAATCACGTCTGCCGACTTTCCTAATCACGTCATCACGTCTGCTGACTTTCCAAATCACGTCTTCTGACTTTTCTAATCACGTCATCACGTCTGCTGACTTTCCAAATCACGTCTGCTGACTTTCCAAATCACGTCTTCTGACTTTTCTAATCACGTCATCACGTCTTCTGACTTTCCAAATCACGTCTGCTGACTTTCCTAATCACGTCTAATCACGTCTGCTGACTTTCCTAATCACGTCATCACGTCTGCTGTCTTTCCTAATCACGTCTGCTGACTTTCCTAATCACGTCTGCTGACTTTCCTAATCACGTCTGCCGACTTTCCTTATCACGTCTTGGTAAAGTAAGTCAAGATCCCCTTTCAGACCAAGCGATGCATCGGAGTGATGGTGTAGAGTTTATAATTATGTTTCTTGACCTCGTCTTCTGAAGGATGGTGTGGGTAGCATTTTGACCAGCAACTTTTAGGACCCGAACTTTTTACAATTGGGTTAGCAGTCGCTCGCTCTACCTGACGACGAAGCCGTTCCATAGAAGTAAAGAACCAACCATTTCAAACCTGAAGGTCATTTGGACAGATGAAGCAGTTTACCAGTTTCTGTGACCTCGGCAAATGAAAGGGGTAGTGTGGTCAGTACTGTGCCGAGCCGCGTTGCCTTTACCGTACGTGAGTCAGGCTACCGCTTGGGCTGGTTGGACTCAAGGACGCTTTACTGACTCGAGCCCGGGGTCGGAACTCGTTTTTTTTTCCGTTAGTATTTGTATGCAGAGGCGTATCGACCCTTCCCGACGCCCGGGGACAAAACTTTTGATTTGCACCCCCCCCCCCTCCAACTTTTGATTTGCAACCCCCCCCCCCTCAAACTTTCAATTTGTTTTTCCAACCCATTTTGGCGCCCCCCCCCCCCAAGGTCGGCGCCCGGGGACATAGGTCCCCCCCCGCCCCCCCCCCCCTCGCTACGCCTCTGTTTTTATGCACTATCATTCGACCACGCCATCCCCAATTTTGCCTTGGTCTAACTGGATTCTTATCCAGTGTTTCTTCCAGACTTTTTTCTCCGGGGGGGGGGGCTTTTGAAATTTTTCGGGGGGGGGGGCGGTCTACATTTTTTCGTGGGGGGGGGGGCGGACACTAGTAAAAGTGTATGTTTAATATATAAAATCCATCTCATTCGGGGGAGGGGGCGGTAGACTTTCTTCGGGGGGGGGGGGGGGGGGGGGGGGGATAGAGCCCCCCCCCCCCCTGAAGAGATGCCTGGAAGAAACTCCGCAGGGAGCTATAAAACGTCGAGATTTGCACAAATCTACCCCCCCCCCCCCCCCCGAAGAGATGCCTGGAAGAAACTCTGTTCTTTTCATGCCCAAAGTAGAGAAACGTGTTAGTGTAAAATTTAAAAAAATATTTTCAACGTCGTCAACCCTAGATAGCCAACACAACCCTAGCTCCACCAACAGCACTAACTTACTAACAGGCTGAACTGTTTAAAAAATTAGACTTTCTTTTTTAGTGTTTGCTCAACAAATATAGATCTAGTTAGTTAGCTCAGACTTCGTGTTGTCATTTTTATTGTGATTTCCCATAACACGTAAAATTCCATACAACAGAATGTAAACCTAATTCAACTAATTAGTGATCGTTCATAATTGACTTCAAGCTTTTTTTAAATGAAAAAAAAAAGTGAAGTAACGGCTAGATTTCAGTTTTAAAAACTAAAAGTCGTCGCCGCCCCCCTTTATTTTTATTTCCACCCCCCCCCCCCCCCCCCCCAACCATTAGAGTGTCGTCATTTATAGACGACCACTTGCTAACGTTAGCACTACTTTTTGTTGGATGTTTTAGACGAGCGTTAGAGGTCCTGGTGGCTGACGGCGGATGGATCGACATCGCCATGTCATACGGCAACAAGGGACTATTTGCCCTCGTCGTTAAAGGGTAAGTTTGTAAGCGCCCTACCTTTAAACTTCGACATTTCAAAACAGTGACAGTTAAACTTTAACAATCATGTTGTTTTTTTTTAAGTCTACATGCTTTTGTCTGTAATTTTGTTTAATAAAGGGAAATAACTGTAAAAATATAATTAATTTCCTTAATTTTATTACATTGTTTCAATGCTAAATGATGAATACGTGTTGTTATTTTGTAACTTAAATCTACTTAGGTTAAATTATTTTCCTTCCGTATCCAGATTTAATCAGTGGAGGATGGACGTAGATGGGACCTTGCCAGAGGACCTAAAAAGACGAGGCGTAACTCACGATTTTATTCAGTCGTTAGGTGCTGAGGCGTAGCGACCCTTCCCGGCGCCCGGGGACAAACTTTCGATTTCCCCCCCCCCTTAAACTTTCGATTTGCACCCCCCCCCCCCTCAAACTTTCGATTTGCTTTCCCATTT